GTAGGATGGAGAGAAATTTTTGAAGTTCGCCCATTCTATTCTGCAAGATTCGGGCATCCATACGATGGATATCTTATCACTTCAGTGGTATCAGAGCCAGGTTCAAGTCTTGAACCGAATTGGATCAAATCTGAACCTGCGCAAATGGGCAGAAGGCGTTCTACCCGATTTGCGCAGATATAAGGTTTTCTTGGAAAATTTGTTTCCAGTTAATGGGCGATTAATCTAAAATTAAATTTTATAAATCTGATTATTATTTAGAATTTTTCTTTATGATTTTATTGATTTATGGGCTGTTCGTACACATGGAGATCGAAATCTTGATTGGCGCAGGGAACCTACGATTTTGCAGTTTCTTGATTATTTTTTTACATTTGGTCTGTAAAATAATTTTTTTTATATTTTTTAGACTGAATGTATAGGCATTCGATCTGATGTAATTATAATAGAAATTAGGTTTACTAATTTTTATTTTGGATCGAAGATGGCGGCGCAAGGAGATTTCGCAGATGGGAGAATCGCTATCTGCGATTTGCAGTTTATGAAATTGCAAACTGTGATCTAACCTCTGTTTTGCAGGATGGATTGTGCGAACAGCCCTATCTAACTAATTCTTGATTTTCTTTTATCAGTATTTAATTTCAGATTAATTTCTTGAATTAAATCTTTAATTAAAGATCAAACCCTAGACCCATTCGATCCAAATTGGTCCAAACTGGTTGGACCGAATTTAGGGTTCGATCAAGGCTGAATGTCAGCCCTAATTTTCCCATTAATGGGCCTAAGGATTGATAATTAATTGAATATTTAATTTGGCCCAACCTGTAAAGGCCCAGTTTTAATTTGTTAAAACTACTAAAAGCCCACTTTGCAGATAACGCTATATGGACCAAATTCATCAACCCTAATTTTGGCCCATATACTTAGATAATATTAGTGGTTAATATTATGGGCTTTAAAATGGGCTTTACAGATATTAATTGATTGGATCAATTCTTCCCCACATGTGATGTATGGATGTGTGATGTGCTACATTCATGGGCAATAAGTGCTTGGCCCATGCTGATTTGACAGTGGCTCTTGCGCACACCATGGCTGAATGCACATCATTGCCATGGTGTCCCTATCGGTCATTGGATGGCCTCCCTCAGTGGTGGGCCCCACACCTCCTGAAGAGGATACGTGCGGAACCCTAGCCAATTTTGGCCCACCGAAATCTGACTTTATGAAAGTCAGTGGGAGCCACTTTGGTTTTACCTAAATCAAACTAGGGCATAATCATTCGTTCCCTCCAGCAAATATGAGTGCAAGTGATAGAGAGATTCATATGATGAACTCTCTAAAGGCCTTCCATCATTAGCATGAGGATGGGTCCTTCAGTAATGAGGAAACGCACCAG